TTGCCCTTGCCATGTTCTCCCCCTGAGGCTGAGAGAGTGTGCAGCCCCTGCAGCCCTGACAGCTGCCAAAGGAGCCGGAGGGGGCGGGGGGCGGCCGAGGAGGAGGAGGAGGCAGCTGGGAAGGTGGAGCCTCTTGGGTAGAGTCTGGTCACATTTACGGATTACGTCTGAAAGGTAATAACGTGGTTTTTTTTCGCATTTAACAATTCCGCAATTAAGCTCTTTCCTGCTTTCTTTGTGGGATTGTTCTTTTCCAGTTTCTATCCACTTTAACTGGCCCCCGTGTGATAACGTCCCTATTCAGTTGTAGAATGAAGGTGGCTTTAGATTAAAGTGGTCATTGGTGGTTTTCAGCGCCATCCGACTCACCAACTGTGTCCTCCTAGGAGAAAAGGCTCAAACCATGGATATTGGTGATCTGATGCAATCCTCAAACAATTGCCTTTCATATATATCAGTCTATAATTTACCTCAGTCCAGTCCAAACTGGCACACCCCAAGTGTGGTGCATCATAATTCTCATCAGTCTCAGCCCACCTGGTTGTGGTGATGGGAATGGTAGCCCATCCTTTCTCAAAGGTGGCATCTTGGCTACCCTTGTTAAAGTTAGAACAAATTATGTAAATACACTCTGTATATCAAGTTCCTTTTGAAAAGAATCAGGAAAACTTTAATACATCCAGAATACAGAGACCATGTTGCTCAGTGAAATTTTTGGACAATCTCTCCCTTCTCCCAATGTAGAAGTGACAATTGCTCCAAAATTCTATGTCCATTTCTAATCCAATCAAGGAGCCATAGGTTGTACTTGGATGAATATCACTGAATTCATAAAATGTGTGAGAACCTGCCTTCACATGCAGTGATGAAAACTTTCATTTGATGGGAATCCATTCCAGACAAAAGTATGAATTGCCCAGACAAAAGAAAGAAGGGAAAAGTATTTTTGATTCAACTGTTTCTGATATCACAAAAGTAAAACACAGCGAAAACAGGACAGAACCTGGGCTGATCTCAGAGATAGGGTAAGGGTAAGCCATACTTCCATGAAGGCAAAAGAGAGTGAATTGATGGGATAAATTGCAGCTCCTATAGATGCCATTTAAAAAGCACAAGTGCTTAATTAGGAAATATTTCATAAGCACTCCCTATATCAGCATCAATCCTATGCATAATCTTATGACTTCAAAAACATCCACTCTCAGAGACAATGTAAGATGTATACAGTCTACTATGGAATAATCATTTCATTTAAAACAGATGGAGCAGAAGAATATTTAAATATCATTCAATTATTTAAAGAATAGGTTTTTAAAAATTCATTAGATGTAACTAGGCTGGGAAATTTTCCACCTAGGTCTGTTTGTCTATTGTTTTTAAATGAATGTGCCCAAACGTAAATCAGTATTTCTGACAGGTTGATTTAATGATGAGGCACCAACTGAGTTATATTCCAGCTTTATGTGCACACTGTGCTATTATTTTACAGGCTCTGGTCCCTTTGATACACTGCAGCACATAAACATGAATCAGACAGGTTTTCTCCAGAGGACTGGCTTATTTTTGAAGCTTTCCATGTTTCCTCTTGGCCTTAGTCCCAACTGTAGCATGATCCCTCAATTTCAGTCCTAGGGTCTTGTCTTGCATATAGATTCTTCTGCTTCAGAAAGAAATGGAAATACTAGGGACCTTATCACACGGGGCCCAAAGCAGTCAGAACCCAAATGAAATCCTGACCTGATACGTATTATTTTTCCGTGTGTCCACACGACGTCGCACAGAACCCCGACAGAACCCTGACAGAATGCGGCAAGAACCGAGATCTTTTGTATTTCAGTTGCTTCAGGAAGTACAAGTGCGCGACAGGAATCATTTCGCGTTTACCGTAAGGACCTTATCAGTTTGGAAAGACAATACGTATTGGGGAGCATTTCCCCAATATGTATGGTGGAGCATTTCCCCGCCCCTGCCTGCGCTGTTCCCCAAACCCCTTCCCAAGCCGGCACAGGGTCCACGCTCTGAGCAGAACGTCCTCGGAGAGGCGCCTCTCTGAGGATGTTCTGCTCGGAGCTCAGGCCCCGCGCAGGCTTGGGAAGGTGTTTGGGGGACAGCCGGCTTGGGAAGGGGTTTGGGTGACAGCCGCGGCAAGTGACAGCCGCGGCTGTACTGAGCATGTGCAGGGCATCATTGCTTGGTTATGTCCGGGATTTTCTCAATTGTGTGCGAACAGCAAATACGGTTCCCGGGAGTGCTTCATCACGCTTTCCTTAATTGCGCGATGATGCTAGTTGCGTCTGATAGGCATTTACGTATTGTGGGGTTCCTTTTGGTTTATTCCTGGATTTATTCTTATTTCGCTTTCTTATCGCTTTGTGGCCCGCGTGTGATAAGGTCATAGGAAAAACTGGAGTTGGAAGACTGAAGACTAACTGTGGACTGCCTCTTGTGTGCCTTCAAGCCATTTTGGACTTACGGTGACCCTAAAGCAAACCCACAGGGTTTTCTTGGCAAGTTTTGTTCAGAGGGGGTTTGCTTTTGCCTTCCTCTGAAGCTGAGAGAGGGTAACTTGCCCAAGATCACCCAGCAGTTTCCATAACTGAGCAGGGATTGAACCTTGGTCTCCAGAGCTGTAGTCCAGTTCTCAAATCACTATATTCCACATGCTTTTCCCTTTGAGAATCCTGCATTTATCATTCAAAGATAAAACGGAGTTCTAGGAAAATCAGAAGATAATGGAATTGTGGCCACTTTTTGAAACAAGGTCAAAATTTAATTGCTTTTAATAAATGTTGCAGCAATTTTCTAGAACTTGTACATAATGACACTTTCATTCATACAGTCTCCTAATATTACATATTCTTACATTTTTCTCTCCTCTCCATTTTTGAGTTATATATCTTATTGATGTAAAAGAATACCACTGGTAGGCTAACCTTAGAAAGGCAAGCTTTTATCAGACAATATATGTGTCGCTTTCTTCTGTACAGCATAGTGGTTGCCAAATATGGATCCCAGATATTGTTGGACTTCAGCTCCCAGAAGCCTAGCCAGCATGTTCAGAGATGAGGGATTCTGAAAGTTGTAGTTTAACAATATCTGGAGAGCCAAGATTGGGAACCGTTGACAAAGCAGAACTACCTTTAAGCAAGAGGAACATATTTCTTTCATTTCCCCCCATGGTTGTCCTGCTATTAATCTTCATTTTTCTGCCAGCATGGTATAGTAGTTTTAGCATTGGACTACAACTCTGGAGACCAGAGGTTGAATCCCCAACTCAGCTATAAAAATCCTGAGTGACCCTGGGCAAATCACCCTCTCTCAGCCTCAGAGGATGCCAAAGGCAAACCCACTCTAAACAAATATTGCCAAGAAAACCCTGTGGTAGATTCACTTTAGGGTGACCATAAGGCAGAAATGACTTGAAGGTACACAGCAACAACATTTGATCATGTTTATGGCCTCTATTTTTTTTTAACATGCATAATAGCATACAAATGCATCCATGCATATCTCACTAAGGTTTACCAAAGAAGGAGGAAGAGGAGGAAACAGATGATTATGAGATACTTCTGTGGAATTATGAAGTAGTCCACAGTATGCAAAATCAAAACTATCTTCTCCACTTTTTTTAAAAAAAGATAGAAAAATGATAGATGATTTGTACAGATGATGGTAATGGTGAGGAATAGGCGGGATGGTAATGGTGATGATTCTTATGATGATGCTAAATGGGCTTAGAAGAGAAGAGAAAGCCCTGCCAATGAAAAGGATTGGATGAAACAATTAAATGAAAATCCATGAGTAAAGGAAGTGGACAGGGACAATCCACAAGTAGGATGAGGTACAAACTTTATTGATCTCCTTTTGTTGTGTTTCATTCATAGATTTCAAATTCAGACATACCCCACATACTTGCATACCCTCCAACATTTCACAGATGAAAACTGGGACACATGTGGCCAAGCAACAACAGTGTGTGGTCAAGATGGTAATCGTTATTAATGAAGAGGATCATACAAGCTAGGAAATGCCGCAGTAGTTTGCTGTTGCTTGTGTCTGTTGGGAAGGGCCTGAGAGGCCATGTGGTGTAATGGTTTGAGTGGAGGACTATCACACTGTAGACTGGGGTTCAAATCCCTGCTTGGCAATGGAAACCCAGTTAGTGATCTTAGGCAAATCACACTCTCTCAGCCTCCTAGGGAGGCAAAGTCAAACACACACACACACTATAAAATTTATCAGGAAAACCCTGTGATAGGTTCACCTTAGGCTCAGAAATCATTTGAAGGCACACAGCAACAACAGCAAATACAGTTTCCCATGAAAGTATTCTGAAAAATATTAGGCCCAAACCAACTTGCAGGTACATAACAACTGGGAGGCACATGATTCCACTTCCTCCTCTCCTCAACCCCATATTGAGCATTATAACTGTGTGCACATTACCTGTGCACTTTGATTTCAGTATACACCAATTGAAGTAAGCTAAAGGCAAAAAGGAGAAAGAAACTGGGACATTTAAAAGCAGCTGAAAAAGTGGGATGGCAGAAGATTAATTGGGACTGTCCTTGCTACATTGAGACACTTGGAAGGCATGGTTGTATAGATGCTAGATGGATTGTGCATCATTTTCATGAGTATGGCATGTTGTAGTAATATTGCAGGTGGCGTTGTAGATATAAGAAGTTAGCAAGAAAGGTTCAGGAGTGGCAGAAGAGGAGGTGAAATTCTATATAACTAATTTTTACAATTTTCCTATATCTAAGAATTCCATATATCTTGAAAGATGTCCAGATTCTGGGTTCAGGAGCATACTTCTCCACCTTCTGTAGTGAAGAACTCTGTATATGAACTTCTACAAGCCATGTTTGGATGCAGGAAATTTTGCTATAGTCCAGGGAAATGAACTAGCTGACTTCCATATGGCCTTCAGTAGTATACTTTTATGATCCAACATCAGGGAGGTGGGAGGGACAACTGGCATCATCAGAACTAGTCACGGAACATCAAAGTCATAGGATGAGTCAAGCTCAGGGAACAGTGAGTGATAAAAGCAATTCTATTTTTGGCACTGAAACCTATGGGGAAGGAACAGCCTCTGTCAGCTTCTTCACACCAGAAATCGTGCATATTGTAGTTGATCCTTTGTGAATCAGCCACAATATGCACAACCCCCTCCCCAACTTTTTCTGTGTCACCAACAGGTTACACTGCATGGTACCATTGATGCTGTATAATGGTGCATGCCCCATGCTGATCTTTACATAAATTCAATGTGTAACAAAATAAAGCACAAACCATCCTTACCATGCGAGAAAAGATTTGGGGCAGGGAAGTCTTTTTATATTCTCTGATTATGTTTTGTTATTAACTGCCCTCAAGTCAACCTTGACTCATGGCAACCCTGTGGATGAGACATCTCCCTGTCATCCACTGCTCTGCTTAAGTCTTGCAGATTCATGCTCATGGTTTCTTTGAGTCTATTCATCTGGCGAGCAGTCTTCCTCTCTTCCTACTTCCCTCTGCCTTTCCTAGCATTATTGTCTATTCCAGTGAGCCATGCCTTCTCAATTTTACCATCTTGGCTTCTAGGGGTATTTCAGGTTTGATCTGTTCAAGGACCCATTTGTCTTCAGCACTCTTCTATAGCACCACATCTCAAATGAATTTATTTTCTTTTTATCTGCTTTTTTCACTGTCCAGCTTTCACATCCATACATAATGATGGATAATACCATGGCTTGGATGATTCTAACTTAATGTTCAATTGTATATCTTTGTTCTTTAAGATCTCATCTAGTTCTTTCATCACTGCCCTTCCCATTCCTAGTCTTCTTATCTCTTGACTGAAGTCTCCATTCTGACCAACATTTGATCCAAGATATAATAATTCTTCATCTATTTTGATTTCATCATTGTCTAAATTGAATTTGCAGTTCTTCTGTGGTCTGTGTATGAAATCTATAGAAATATGAAATAAGGTTCATTTTAAAAAAAAAATGAAGAAAATTATTTTATTGCTGTTGCATACTTAAGTCCAGTTTATAATATTTAATCACCATGCTTTTACTACAAGTCATGTTGGACGTGAAGAAATACATAGAACAATCTGCCAGAGCTCAGAAAAGTTACTTTTGTGAATTACAATACCCATGACCATATCTGGGGATTATGGGAGCTGTAGTTTGCAAAAGTAACTTTTCCGTGCTCTTTCTTATGTTCATGAAACTCTCTCAATACGTTCATGGTGTGTATGGACAAAGGGATGAGTGGAACTGTAGTAGGTATATCATCTCCTTTTGCCTCGGAAAACCATACACAGGATCTCCAGTTTAAAATCTGGCATTTGACAAACACATGTTCATAATGGAATGGATCTGAGCAATCGCTGTGGAACAATGACTAAACAGATATTCACTTCAGCTTGCTTAGCTGAAGAACAAGCACAAAGTCTGTAACACTTTGTGGTTACTAAAATGGAATGGGAATGGATGGGAACCATGTAGTAAGACAGATCCTGGGAATGAATTAAAATGTTTATAAAATAAACTGTTCCATGGACTCCTCCTTTTCAGACATGAAGACTCCTCTGGTAATGGACCACCATTCTCTGTAGTTAACTGGATCTAGAAAAGATCAGCTTATTTCAAGGACTCTGGATTTTCTGATCATGATTTTTCTTCCTTCAGCACTACCTCACTTGGGACTGGTGTCTTACAGGTAAATACTAGGCAGACCTACTCAGAAGAAAGCCCTATTAAATTGAATGACATTCTCAGATGAGTACATATAGCGTGTGTTAACTGCCCGTGAGTCAGGCCTGACTCATGGCAACCCTGTGGATGAGACATCTCCAAGACCCCATTTCCTCCACTGCTTTGCTTAGGTCCTGTAAATTCATACACATGACTTTGCTGATTGAGTCTACCCCTTTGGCATGTGGTTTTCCTCTCTTTCTGCTGGACTCTACTTTCCCCAGCATCATTGTCTTTTCTAATGAGGCATGACTTTTCATGATGTGGCCAAATTATGACAGCCTCAATTTCATCATCTTGGCTTCCAAGGTTGATCTGATCAAGGACCCATATGTTTGTCTTTTGGGCTGTTATCCTCAGCACTCTTTTTTAGCACTCTTTTAAATAAGTTTATTTTCTTTCTGTTGACTTTCTTCACTGTTCAGCCCTCACATCCATACATGGTGATGGGCAATAGAATGGCTTAAGTGGTCAGTTGAATATCTTTACTCTTTGGAATCTTATCAAGTTTCTTCATGGCTGCCCTTCCCATTTCTAGTCTTCTTATTTCTTGACTGTGATCTTTGTTCTGATCAATGTTTGATCCAAGGTATAAGAAATCTTTACCTATTTAGATTTCCTCATAGGGCTGATGCTTATGACCCATTTGGGGAGACTCTGGACTGCCCCTGGGAGTAGTGGATTGGGGCCGCAGCAACCACACACCACGGCCCGGATTCTCCTTTTTGCCACCCCCAAAAGAGCAGGAAAAGGCTGCCCTTAGAGGTGCCGCCATGGCTCATTTGCACCCTTTTGGTGCAGCGTGTGTGCCGCGTGCCATGTGGATGGGCGTGTGGCATCGGGGTGGAGTCGGCGCAGAGTCAGGGCCGCCACCGTGTGGTTTCCTCACACCAACTCCAACCCCAGGCCAGCCTATATCGGCCCATAATCTAGGTTGAATTTATGTGGATCTTTCTTTATATTCAGCAGTAAGCCTACCTTTGCACTTTCACCTTCCTAGTAATTGTTCCAAGTCTGTGATGTTATCCACTAGTAGCATGGTATCATCTGCATATCCTAGATTGTTGATGTTCCTTACTCCTGTCTTCAGGAGTTGCAGACTGCCAGAAATAGTGCAAATTGAGTCCACTTTTAGGGTTAGGGTTAGTGCTAGGGAGTCACGGAAATTGTTTTTTTTTTTTCTGAGACATTGAGCCTTCTCTGTCAGAGAGCTCTGGTGCCACAATAAACTACAGTCCCCATGATTCCCTAATCCTAACCCTAACCCTAAAAGTGGACTCAATTTGCACTATTTCTGGCAGTCTGCAACCCCCCAAAATCTCCTCTTCATATGATATTTTCTGCATATATGTTGAACAAATGGGGTGACAGTATGCAGCCTTGCCTGACCCCCTTTGCCAATTGGGAGCCATTCTGTTTCTCCATATTCTGTTCTTACAGTTGTTCCAAGTACAGATTTCTCATGAGGACTGTCAGATATGGTGGCATTCCCATGTCTTTAAGAGTGTTCCATAGCTTTTCATGATCTATGCAGTCAAAAGCTATGCTATAATCTATAAAACACATTCTAATTTTCTCTTGGAGTTCCTTAGTCACCATGTGCTTGCAATGTGATCCCTAGTGCATGCCTCTTCCCTCCTGAGCGCCACCTGCACCTCTGGGATTTTTCTCTCCATATATGGTTTGTGCTTGTATTGTACACTTTTGAGCAGAATTTTGTTTGCAAGGGAGGTTAATACAAAGGTTCTATAGTTGATGCAGTCTTTTGTCTCTCTCTATCTCTTTTTGGAGATGGGGATGTATATTGATTGTGTCCAGTCTGTTGGACACCTTTTTGCTTTCCATATTTGTTGACATATTTTAGCTATCATTAGAGTCGATACTTTCTTTATGAATTGTAGCAATTCTATTTGAATATCATCTGATTTATTCTTCCCAATATCTTTTATTGCAGCTTCCACCTTACTCTCTTGGATTTGGGTTTTATCTTCCTATGGTTCCTCTTTCCATGTAATGATCATTTTTCATGTTTTATACATATAGACCTGCAGCCAAAATTGTTTCTTCCCTTGCCACACTTTCAAGTAAGGGGCAAAGCAGACCGGCCTCTTGGAGTGGCCTCTGGCCAATCAGACCCCAGTTGGCCGGGGACTGCGGTGGATAGACGGACCGCTCTTAAAGTGGGCCACCGGCACAGTCCCAAACAGGCCACCAGCAAGGAGCTGTTTTTCACTGCTCCTTTTACTGGCAGCCTCAGGCCGCCTCAGAGCAGCTTCCAGCTTCACCAGGGGCACGCGTCATTTGCACGCCACATCCTTGAAGCGGTCATAAGCTGCACTTTTTGGTCCATCTGTTTCAGGCCTGTGACTCAAAATATGCTGTAGTTTCGCTAT